ATTCATGTGCGAAATTTTTCACGCTTTAAATCGAATCTAATTTGCTTTACAATTTGCTTTCTTGAAATTTTCCCTTATAAAAATATTAAAAAATAAATAAAATGAGTAAAAAACATTAAAGTCAACCAAACGTTTCTTTTGGTTATTGTAACACGTGTTTTATATATATATATGTACTACCTGAAAATAAGCATCATTATCCGCTCAAGCAATTGTAAATTGGTTTCATTATGGCGTTTTTATGTACTGCGTACTCTTATATTTTCGCACATTTTTTTTTTTTTTTCAAGTTTATCCACACAAGGTCATTTATGATACAAACAAACAGTTTGCCGTAAAACAGTTGCAATTTATTATTAGAAGATAAATTATCTTTAAGTATCTGACTTGAAAGCATGATTACAGCATCAGTATTTTATTATGGATTTCATTTTCACATTAAATGTAAAAACTCACACTAGTAATCAATAGAAAATCGTTCGAACAGACATGTAAAGGTAAAAAGTACATTGTTTAGCTCTATACTAATGGACTGGTAAATCTATGCACACAGAATATATTCTGAAGCTGATCATAAAAATAGTATGAAGAAATAAAAATGCTATAATGATACACGGTGCATCATTAAATACCCTACATCGCTTCGCTTAATACAGTTATTCATTTAAGCCCTTATATTGCGACCGACTGAAAACCATTTTCAATAGCGTTCATTTTTGAATTAAAACATGTCGGTGTACTAAATTTGAAAAAAATTTCTTATGACAAGCTTAGATCAATTCAAACAGTGATTCCAAATCGCTCGGTATAATAAAAGGTGGATCTATCTCAAGTTCGTCTATGTTTTGCATAAATCTACACAAACTTAAAATGCTCTTGTGCCACCAGTCGGCCAGAGATTTATTAAGGTTAACTTTCCTGAGGTTTTTATTACATAAAAATATATTGACAAGTGTGTACTGACAAATCATGCTCACTACAAAACCAAGATATATATTCGTGAATGCTCTCAGTGAAAAGATACTCGCGATCTTATGATCAAAATGAAGATAAGCGCAGAGCATGTGTTGAGGAAGCCTTTAGGAAAACCAATGAGGACTTTACAGTTTCCGAAGAATTTAAAGAAGTTTACCTCAATAATTGACGAAATTTCATTCGATAGATATTTGAAATAATATTTTCAATATGAAACAAATTGTGTGTGTGTGTGTGTGTGTGTGTGTGTGTGTGTGTGTGTGTGTATAACTCTAAGCCGAACACAATACTGTGATGATTCGGCAAGTAATCTTTTCGCCAAATATATACCTGCAGAAATACACCTACAGCGACGTACTATCAAATGTTCTCTTAAACTGCAAAATGATTCATAAAAACACAAGTACATCGCGTCAAAGGGAAGACAATTTGAAAAGAATAAAAAAGATTTTTACATCTAGACTACATGTTTGCTATGAAAATATCAAAAATTCTCGTTAATTTTTGATCAGACTACTACTTTTGTATATTAGGAAAAAGTTAGCGTGGATGTGTTATGTTCGCCCGTTTTTTTTTTTTTTTTTCATTAATCATTTTTATTCTTAATTTATTATTTTTTTTCCTCCCTCTGTCTCTCTTTCTCTCACTATCTATCTCGCTCTTTCTCTTTCTCTCTTTGGGTAATAGTTCAAGTTCAATGTCAATTTAATTACTATTTTTCTTCTAAATTCAAAATTTAATAAGTATTTGCCTAAGCCTGTAAGCCTACCGATAAAAAATATTGTGCTTTAATACAATGTATCGTCTACGTAATCCTTTAGTAAAAATACGAAATATAAAAAAAAAAAAATTATCTGATTGCTCACATATAATATATGTATGGTCTTCATTCTATATAGTCTTTTCGCATATTATAGAAGACGTTGTTAATCTTATCAATAATTTAAATTACAAGATTTGCAAATTTATCTCAAGTGTTTATTAAATAAAACGTTTGTATGCATAAATCAATATTTCTAGAAACAGAATAGTAGTTCACTTAAAGAAATGATTTAAAAATTTATTTATTATTATTGCTCGAATTGTTGTTGTATCTGTTTTAAAGGGAACTTTCTGATCACTATCGCAGCCATACGAAAAAATCCCGCTCACCTTACAGAGACGTTTAAAGGCGTCCATATGGATAAAGTAGCGCAAATTTTTATTTAAAAATTAGAAAAGAAAAAAACTCCAGATAGTGATCCATTCCAAAATTTTCCTCTATGCAAAGATAATGCCGCACTTTTAGATGAAACGTATTTTTATTCTGTAAACATAAATTGCTTTACAACATCCTAGCCAATCTATAGATTAAAGGGACTCTTTTTAGCTAAAGATTTAGAATAAGATAGACAAAGGTAAATAACAATGAAACGATACTAGAGTTTTATTCGTATTCCCCTTTATGTGAAGATAAGCAATGAGCAGAATAAGAGGAAATGGCGTAACTAAGCATTTTATTCACTTTCCTCGTTCTAGAAAATAATTTCAGGCACATACTTACAAAATTGTTCGTTTTCTTCGAGAATTCAAATCTCCACTTCACGCTAAATTACGTAATTGCGTTTGACTTATGTATCATTACTTTTCTTCCAACTCAATATATTTCTTATATAATGTTTTCAAAAAACTCTATATTTCATTCTCATATTCTATGGAATAATTTGAGCTATATAAAGTAGATTCTAGATCTTTTTTTTTTTTTTACATATCTTAGCGATTTTTTCGATTGTTGATTTGCTGAATAGGAGAAGAGAGAAAAAGAAGAAGATATTTCAGATTTATAGATATAATAACTTAAAAGTCTGCTCATGTTACAATTGTTGCAAATTTTTTTTTTTATTTCTTCCATGGTCTTAAATTCTATCAATTCCTTAGATAACATACACACACACAGACTATACAGACTCTACTGAGCTTCCGAGGATGTACGTATAACATAGAGAAGGTGTTAAGAAAGATCTGGCATCTCTTTATACCAATCAGAGAATCACGTTTAAGCATATCTGTCCATCTATCCGTCTCATATCTGTCCCAAATTGCTGAATTATTATTCGCGTACTTGAAAATCTTGAATCGGAAAGACTGAGCCGCTTTGAAATCCCTGCTCCGGAACCCAAGCCTATCCGAATTTGGATCATATATGATGAAGGTTTTTTGTATTTGAACCCATACAAAACTTCTGATGGACAGTCAGCCAGTCAGAAGGTAAAAGGGCCTGTTTTCTAATGTTTTATGATGAAAGTTGGACATGGAACTTAAGTGTACCATAATTCCATTACGTTGGTCTATTTTTCATAACTTCCTGCGTATATAAGAAAAGTAATCCTTTAATCTTTTTACTATATTGCGACGGTCTTCGATAAGAAGATTAATTTTGCTTTGGATGCTCTTTCTTGTAAGGTATTACATAAAAAGTATGTTGGGCCATTTTATTACGAAAATAAAAATTGAAGAATAATTGTGTTAAGGAAAGTCGTATAGGGTACATATAATGATCGAACTGACCCGACTATAATGTATTTTCTTTTCATTTTCCTATATATATTCGTATGGGAATAATTTTTTCATGAAAACGAAAGAGATAGAAAAAATGAAAATATTTCTTTCTTTTGTAACGGTTGTAATTGATGATATGATTAATGCATATAAGCGTGAAGATGAATATTTATTCATAATTATATACAAAAGAATGTCGTTGCTCTATCGTGTTCAGTGCATGTTTCTTTATAAAGACGATTAGAAGCTGATTCTTTTTGAATTTCTTAAAATCATATTCACTCTCACCTTTAACATATATTTTTCGTCTCTTATTGCATTTCATAGATTGGTAAGTGAAAGTCCGCTCTAAACAATATAAGATTTAAAGTTTCGTTTAATAGAAAAAATAATCATTAGAAAATAATTCGAAAATTATTGCTTATGCGATACGCATCGTATTGGTAAGTTACTCATGCAATATTTTATTTGGCTGGCAAAAGCATCTAATGATTAGTAATTTTTTCGCTTACAAAAGAAGCGACCGAAGGGACACTCTTCAAAGGCCCTAAAGGTTACAGGGTTGATTATGCATTTGAATGCGTTATATATTATGGTTTACATTACATTGATACGTTTTGCTTCAATAAATGGATAATTTTGAACATATTCATCTATCCAGTTTATCGATTCATTTGGAAGCCAAGAAGATTGCATACAAAATGTAGTAATTTATGCTATTTACTAGAAATGTACAGATTTGAATGTTGTTGTTGCTATAACAATAGCACGCATAAACATTTAATTGAAAAGCAACGGCCTTTACGCATAGCATACTTATGAATGAAACTTAGACGCTAAGTGTAAGCAATCTATGCATAAAGAATTGCTACAGAATTTTCGCATTCAGATGTTAAACGCAACGTTTTCTTTGTTAACTAAAGCAAATACCAAATTTAGTTAACAATTGACAAGCAACGAGAATAGATTAAATAATAATCGCATAAAATAAGTTTATCGTTACAAGTATTTTTCTTCTTAAAATAAACTAAGTGATCCTTGTTTTCTCGAAATGAAAAGAAAATAATAACAATAATTTTTTTTCTTTTTTTTATTAATCATTCAAAGCGTTTGTTGTTGTTTTTCTTTTTCTTTTTTTTTTTTCTTTATTAATCGTTGAACAATTTTTAATCATTTTTTATATTTTTGTTGCAGATTTTTTGATCGTCTTCTATACATTTTTTTTTTTTTTCTCATCTTACCGGCCTTTCAACCAAAAATGTATTAAAATGAAATTATATGTGAAAATAATAATAATATTATAAACATAAAAAATATTCCCTAATATTAATATTAATTAAATAAAAAAAACAAAAAAAAAATGGTCTTGGAGAAGTGAAAAAATGTCAAAATTTCCCTTAAGAAAAATTCATCGAGAGAGTCTATGAAAAATTGCAAAATTTTTTTTCAACAGAAAAGCGCAAAATTTTGAAAATTTTTATCGATGTCTTGGCATAAAAAAAAAATAGAAAAACAGCAAAAAGAGTTTTTAAGTAAAATTCGATATTTAAAAAAACGTCCGAAAAGTCGCGAAATAAAATCGAATACGAAACCTATTGAAAGTGAATGTTACGAAATTGAAAGCCGCAATAGTAATCGCCAGCAGGGAAAGCGTTACCTCGTAAAGAATTACTATTTGTGTCTGCAATTGCAATTAATTAGATAACAACTGCTGCTTAGAAATTCGCGCGCTTTTCGTCAATATTTGTGTTCCAAAAAAAAAAAAAAAAATTCCATTATTATTAACTTCATCATCATGTCTGCTGATAATTTCGATGCCCCTTTACAACCACCACAATCGCCGAATGATGACACTTTACCGCAACAATTTGAGGATCTCTTTTTAAATTGTCACTTTTCTGCTGAGAGTGACGAAGAGAATGATTTAACTGGAGCAACAGCCACGAACAACGATCAACCATTCTGCTGGGTATTTGGATATGGTTCATTATGCTGGAATCCTGGTTTTGAATACGAAAGAAGTATTACCGGTTATATAAAGGGTTTTGTGCGTAGATTCTGGCAAGGCAATGTTACACATCGTGGTACACCCGAAAAGGTATGTTTTGTTCTTTTCCTCCTAAAATGTAATAATTCAAGTTTATCTAGTTCGATTACACTATAAATAACCTAACAAGTCCCATTGATTTAATTTAGTAGTTATTTAGACAGCATAAGGCAAATTTTTTTTCCTTTTTTTATTATATCGATTGAACCTAAATTGTTGATATTTGTCTTGTAAACTCTTGTAAACTTTTATAAAAAAAAAGAAAAAAATGGAAAAAATTCGCAAAATATTCCTTCAATTTTTATGCACAAAAAAAAAAAAGTATATCATCAAAAGTAAATCGTTTACGTTTGAAGAAATCATTTTCTAAAGCGAATAAAAAGTATTTGCCTTATGGGATTAAATATTGTGCTGGCTAGTTTTTTTAATTTTAAGCATTCCATTTCACGATTTCTTCCAAGGCCCAAATGCTATAAAATTTCGTCGTAAAAAACGCTCTAGTTAACTTGAAATATAACATTAGGTACCGTTACGTAATCATTATTAGTGATGGACGTGCTATTTTCATACTCTTATACTAATTATGAATAAGTCTTTAAAGCGATCTAATAGAACGTCGCTTTCATTTTGCTAGACAACGATTTCCAACGAGTTATAACAGTTATAAGTCAATAGTGCATTTGCAATTAATTGCAAGTCAACAGTGAAATTCACGGTTTTCAAGGATATATTATAATTTAATAAATGTAACTGTATGGTGTATAATGTAAGGTTTTTCCTGCTTCTTGGTATATGGTACACATTAAAGCTATCTACTTTTGAAACTTAGCGTCGCACGATGAAAAAGTCCGTCCAATAAGCAAAAAAAAAAAACCAAAAAAAAAAAAAAAATTCTTACGAATTTTGACATTTTTCTTTTTCAGCTTTTCCCTTTCTCGTTGAAAAGCAAGGGATGAAATGTTGCCTTTTCTTTTAATGTGTCCGTGAAGATGTTCTGCATAAAATTTTTTCTCAAGCATGGTTTTAATAGACATTAAAAAAGGATCTCTCTGCGATGTCATCTTCAAAGTGATTACTGAGGTGCGGTCAATTTTGTCTAACGTCTAAGGTCTTCGCAATTTAAAGCAAAGATTGAATGAACAGGAAATTACTATAAGAAAATTGGAACAAAAATTTCTAAAACCGAACAAATACTTGGAAGAGAGTTAGCTAGAACAAGTTTTCCTTTATTTATCCTTCGTTAGCTTAGTAGATTGTTTTTTTTCTTCACAATTTTTAGGAATTTCATAGAAAAATTCAATTAAAAAAAAAAAATGTCTCGCACATTGAGATTCGAACCCGTCTGCTATTACAGCTATATGCGCATATTCGTTCTCAATAATTCAACAAGTCTTTGTAAAAAAGCCAACCACCTGATCGAATAATTTGTATAGAAATTCCAAACAACTGAGAATATGTGTTAATAAATCATAAGTTTACCCATAAGAATGCCAACATTTTATGAAGTATTTTGAAAATATCTGGAAATTGTATTGTATTGAGCGTATAGTTTTGCTTTTTTAAAAGCAATGCTGTATTATCTGAAGGCATCTCCAAACAGATAAAAAAATCGATGGAAAAAGAGCAAAAGTGACCAAGTCAAGTTGTTTATATTTGACCAGGAAGTTTTTTGCGCAAAACACTTGTAAGATTATTTTCTGATTAAATAAATTTTATCCTATTTTCAAAAAAAAAAAGAATATTCTCTTTCCATATA